GTTACGAATGCATTTTCTATGTTTTGTGAATCAAAGGGAAGTCTGAAATAAAACTGAATTTGACTAGGTATAATACAATCTTGACAGTGGCTTATTTTTAACGTAACATTAATTGAACTGCCAACACTTTAATTCACATGTATAGGGACCTCGGACACGGACAGCCCAGGTTTTCGTCTGAATCCGGGTTGGAGTCAGTTATGGAGAAGCTGAAGACATTGTTGGGGCACCGGCACAAACCAACAATGGAATTGCTGCACGACTGCCTTAATCCTGAAAAGGATCTTCTTCACCTCACTAGCAAGAAAACCTTGGACCATCACAAAACCAAATTTAGAGCGGACCATCCTCAATTGGGCTGAGGTATTTGTTTATACCTACAAGGGTCACAAAAAGGACCAAAGTCACACCTGCAATTGGTAGTGGTCATACATATTTTTCCAAATATGTGCAACACAAAGTCTGCCTTTTTAACCTACAACATGCATCTGTCAGTAAATGCTTTACTTTGTCATCGTTACAGTCTATTAATTTAAGTATTAAGTGGTAGGTTTATTTTCAATGTGATCGAAAATAATTTCAATAAGGCAGGATGTGTTGTCTGTTCTGATTGTAAATTGGTTGGAATGTTTAAGCTAAGATTTTCAAAGGGACTTAAAGAACTGATTGAACGTGCCAGCAGGAATTCACACTTTCTGTATTGAAATATTTTAGTATTGCGGTGTAAAATAAAGGTTTTGAGTTTTTAATTGCCTGTCGTCTTTCATATAGATTTATATAAGTATTTGATTCACCTGGCTCTACCTCTAGCTCCCTGTCTTAAGGTGTTTCATGCCTTCAATACAATGCTTTTTTTCAGATATTGTATAGAAGACATGATTTGGTCCATTGGCTAAACTATGCCTAAAGGAGTCCATGTTTGTAGTTATGCTGCTGGCTGTTAGCAGGTGTAATGGTCTGCCTGTTGGTGCGGATGTGCTAATTTATAAAAAGCTTTTGGGACAAGAATCTCGAATCACCTTATTTATCACGAAATATTAACCTTTGGGCTGTGAACAGTTGGCACAGTTGTGTTTTTCTATGCCTGTGGGGTAGTAAAAGTTCCTCTGGGATGCACAGCCGCGCTGAAGAGGCGTGTGGTTGGATGCAAACCTGAAAGACATTCCTGCTGGATTTCAATGATTAAGTGACTGTATGTCAGTTTAAAAATAAAAAAGATCAGATCATAAAGCCTGTAGATAATTCTTTCGTTACTCTAAATTAAATGTAAAAGAGCAGAGTGTAAAGTTGTCTAAAAACATTTTTGTGTGTGAAGAAAGTGAGAAATTATAAAGTTCTGATTGGATTCATTCATTTAAAAGATTTATACACAAATAATTTGAACATATATCAATATGTTTTCATACAAAGGCTTTTTTTGCATTACATTTACCAGCAACAGACATCCCTTCATACCTTTAATGAAAAAGAACCTCACTGCTGTGGGAACTCGGTGTGAATTGATTTGCTTTTTCATATTGATAGTAGGTTGAGTGGATCTTCCAGAACAGGGAGAACAAGGTCCTCCAGCTTCTCTCTGAGGTATCTCTCCCCTGGATCCATGTACCTGCACTGTCCTTTAATCCTTCCTGCTTCTGCTTCCTCTGCTCCTTCTGCGGTTCCTTCAGAGACAAACTCCGGTTCAAATAATTTGTTTTCAATCTTTCAAATGTCCAAGTGAGGATGCTGTTAATACCTAAAGAAAGAGAGGCCTGAGAATGCTTACAAGCCACCAACACAACTCAAATTTGATATATTATAGGGAATGATAATGATCAATGTTTCATTGATTGGTAACATAAATATGATCTCTGACAAGACTTAATATAAAGACCAGCTGGATATATCTCTCACTCTCTTGTGATGGCTGCTTTGTTCAATTTGCTGGGCCCAAGAGTTCAACACTTTTAATCTCAATCAGATCCGATCAGATTTTGAAATCCCCTTTTTTGTGATCCATGATCAGACAAATCGGCCAAATGTTGTCCCTGGAGTTCAAAGCAAGTCAGGATAGGATCAACCTGATCCAGATTACGATTTTTCAAGATGACTAGATCCTGAATATCAGTGCTTTAATCCTACCGATCGCCATCTAGTGGACATGAAAAACAATACAAGGAAGACAAGAGACCACATTGCAGAGACATCTATTGTCCGCGATTACTTTTGAAAGGTGACGACAGATGATGGATTTTTTTTTGTTGAAGATATTTTTTCTTTAATCTAAATTACATTTGTGATTGACAATCTTTGCTGTGATACTTTTATGAGCATAAACATTTATGTCATGAACATTTGGTTGAAAACAAAATAGGCCACCACAAACGTGAGCAAAAATGGAAAAAATAAAAAGTATTTCCCATGAAGGCTAAAAATTGTGTATTATTTCAGTTAACAAACGTTGCCATCTTATTTAAATTGAAACATATTTTAAAATAAATTGTACAGTACATTTTGCTCTGGTAATCCACTGGAAATCCACCCCTCTGGTGGGATCAGAATAATCCAGTTTTTTGGGATCAAACTGATCCCAATCCTGTGTTGTCGGTTTGAACTACCCATTTTGAAGATTTTATCCAGATTAAAGTTTGGATTGGATTTCCTGATCTGATCGGATATCAAAGTGATCCTAATCCTGTTTTTTGGTTTTGAACTCCCCAAAATCCAAATCTGATTTGATCAGATAGGGATTAAACGTTTTGAACTCCTGGGCCCTGAATATCAGAATTTGATACCTGATTTTTCATTTACTGCACAAGAGGTACAATAAACCCAATAAAAAGACCACCAACAATGAATTGATGCTACTAATAAGTAATGTCTGTGTTAAAGCCGGATACAACTTGTTGTTCTGTACCATAGACCTCCCTTGTTGTCAAGAAGCTTTTAGGAACACAGTGTTTCTGCACTGCAGTTTATTTCAGATTAAATACACCATCCAGCTGCCAGATATACTCACCTATGCAGCTATTACCAGAATGAATATATTCACCTGCAAATGACCTATTTACCACTATTTGAGTTTACTAAAATGTATAATCTACCTATTTATATGTCTATATCTCTAGTAGGCAACAATGGGCTTGGGCAGTATTGTTTATTTTAGAGTTATGTAAATCTGGGGTACCCTGTACATTTCTCATCACGTAGGTTAAATAATGTTAGACACACTAGGTTAGCGGATGGTTGCCACCCCTGTATTTTTGCTTTGTCCAGTTCTGAGTAGCTAGTTAGTGAGTGTTTGAGTTTTGGTTTCAGAGGATAGATGTAGAGATAGGCTTGGTTTTGTTATACTTATTTCTTTTGTTTGGCACAATCTCCTTTGTTTCCTCCTCCTCCTCCTCACTTAAAGAGAATCTATGGTCAGTATTCTTTGTTGCACAAAGAATAAAACTTTTTGTTGACCTTTACGCTGACTCCCTCATTTTATTGGTTTTTGTGTTATTGTCTCCAGGTCCCCTAGACCTTAGTGGGGACGTAACAGTCTTTACGTGCCTTAAGAAAATTAAAAGTGTCATGAGAATCTAAGATATACAGCAGTGCAAGTCAAAATATAGGGCTAAAATATAAACATAAATAAAAAAATATTTAATAATAAACACAACATTTTACCAAGCTGCATTAAAGGGTGGTTGTTGACATCCACTCTCTGTTTATTGGTGTATCAGAAATCCAGGAAGTAGAGGATGTTTGATCTTGATGAAACCCATCAGCATGTGTTGTGTGCTCTTCCTCTGCCTGCTCCATTATGCATCATCAGGCTGACTGGTGTCCCCTTGCTGCTGCTTTGTCCACAGATGACTCAGCGCCTCCTCCTCCACCTGCACCGGGCTCTAATGGCCTCTCCTGCTCTAGTGCTACCTCCGCCTGGCATCCGGCCTCATAAAGAGCACAAGGCCATTAATTGTAGAGAATGTTCTGTCCTTTGGTCTCATGAAGCATTAGAGGGGGAGGGAGAGCAGCACAGACATTTTGTTTCATTAACCAATGGGAGTATTCCTAACAATCAGAGTAGCAATCATATGTAGAGGGCCAGGGCCAGGGCCTGCCCTAGGCATTTTGGTGCCCTAGGCGAGATTATGATTTGGTGCCCCCCCCCTCCAAGCAATACACAATATATAAAGAATAAATGAAAAATCTACAAAAACTGAAACTTATTGACATGTTGGTTATATACATAAAGAAGGTTTCAAATGTATTCATTATTGTATGAACATGTTTTAATTGGGGGGTGGACGTCACATCCTCTTGGGGGGTCCGGGGGTATAACCCCCGTAAAGTTTTTTTTAACAATTTAAAGTAAAATGCTTCAATCTGGTGCACTTTGAGAGCCCAATTACTAGAGACTAGATCTAGGTGGTACAACTCTAAACACCCATCTGAAAAAGATCGGTTTACATTTTAATAATCAATTAAGCATATGAACATAACCAATAACCTACCATAGCCAAAAACAAGTAAATGTAACTTGTTTTATTTTTGTTGTTCACTCATATCTTATTTTACCTAGTTAACATTTATTTAGTAATGCACATTTTTTAATATCTCCAGTTTTTAACGATATTTTTGGTTACTGTATACATTGGAATTATTTAAAACCTGTTGTTATTTATCCTAATAATTATAAAGGTGTGCCTTGGAAATATTTGTTTACATAAATTGTGATAAAACCGTTTGAGACCCACTGAGATAACTTAGACTAAAGTGAACTATCTAAACACTCAGTCCTTTACCTCACTGAGCTGTAGTTATCAGCCTCAATCTGGCGACCACCTAGTTCGCCAGTGCCAACGGCCGGCCCTGTAGAGGGCTCCCACTGCCTGGTTCTGGTGTGTGAAGTGTTTGGATGTAGTAAAGTGTATGAATGACAGTGTTTATATTGTTTGTTCTGCTGTGTTCCCCTTCAGGATCAAAGCTCTGACATGAGGATTCGAAAAAGGAGGTCTTTGAAGCGTCCCAGGACGGTTGAATAAAAGCCATTGCAGCACAGGTGCAATGAGGTGAGGCTTTGTTAACTGTGAGAGCAGGTGTAAGAGCATCTGTGACGCACTGCTGACAGGTACAATGTCCCTCACTGCTCTGGGGGGCTTGTGGGGGTTGGGAAAGAAGTCTGTTTGTTTTAGCAGTTTAGAGTTTTGTTTGGTTAGTTTATTTTTGTTTTATAAGTGATAAACGCATAAAGTAAAGTGAAACCAGCTAAACTAAACTGACATAAATAGGTGTACACCTACCCTTTATACATGAATTATACTGTATCTGATGTCTTTGAGTGTACCGCTAAAATGTACAAAGAGTGGCACCCAAGAAATGTATTTCATTTTTGTTTTCTTAATACAGATTATAGCATACCACCATAAATTATTTAAAAATGTTATTCCCTGTTTTGAAGTTTAATCTTTCTTTATTTGCCATACGTTTACAATTTCTGAGAGTTTTACAGGATATAAATGTGCTGAATTATGATTCATATTTAGATAGACTTAACGTAATGTTTTTTCAAAATGTATTATAATAAGGTGAGAATCCAACACCCAACTGACCAGTGTGACAGCTACACACTTATTATGTGCAGAAAAACCTTGTTAAATCCTACATAACTCTATTTTAATATTTTTGTGGATACCCCACTAAGTTTCCATAATGATGAACCATGGCAGGATAGATTTAAAAATATATGTGCCTAAGAATATATAACAAATATTTGTATTTGATTGAATGGATCCTTAAAACCTGTTTTTCACACATGCTGGAAACAATGATCATTCTTTGAGACTTTTTTTCTCACTTTAACATGTCAAAACAAACACACCTGGGATGTTTCCTCCTCCAAAGTGACATCTGCCCACTTACCTACAAATAGTCAGGGTCAAACTGCCCGTGTAAGCTCTCATCAGTGGAAGCAAAATGGATCAGATAAGATTTGGGGTCTCATTTAAAACTGTGTGAGTATCAAAATTGAAAATCGAAAATACTTAAAGGACGCATCATTTTCAGATTTGAACTTAATAATACCTTCTTATTTTACCCAGTGTTTTTCATTGTTTTATCCTGAGGAGTGCGCTTTCCATTCAGAAAAGAGAATGGATTGATACCCCAACAGCAAGATTAACAGGTACAAATATTTTTCTGTTATAAAAAACAATTGGTTATGGTACTTCTTTCAAGTATTACCTCAGAAATGTTTTGCGTTTCAGAAGGAGATGTGTCATGTTTTTCTGATTGCATGGAGATGTGGATTCACAATGCGAGGATTGAAGGGCTGGGGCTCTGGCTGTCTGGGGCCTTAAAGATCCGAGGTAGTTCTTTCTGACACAACAAGGGACAAAATATTGACATGGATATGAGATCAAATGCCTCAAAATCTCCTTTATCTTTCTGCAAGTCAACCTGGCTTCTCTGGATCAACTCAACCTGCAGCTGTCTTCCTGTGGACTCTCACTGCACAAAGACCCTGACAACAACTTTATTTTTAGAGTCAGCTACACTGGATGTTTGGTCCAGCAACAGGTAGGTCACTCTTTTAAGAAATATGTAATTCATATAAACAAAGCTGGGCCTTGTGGTGATAATTATCTGGTTGCTATGTATCTTTCAGGATGGCCATCATGTCCTGAATTTGAATTTGGTGAAGAGGATAAACAGATTTGGAGGCAGACCTCACAGTGTGATGATGAAGTGTCCGCTGGTTTCTGTGCTGCCCAGCAGAGAGAAGATCCAGTGTGACCCGGAGTACATCCAGGTAACTGCCGACTGCAGTATTCATAAAGTTTCACTGTTTTCATTGGACGTTTCTACATAACCAAGTGTTTTGCTTTGTTATTCTGATACAATTTGTATTTGCCTGTAGGTGACCAGACAAGTTGCCTATGACAACTGGGACAATGAGGTAGACATTGAAATAAATCACTCAATGCTTTGATGAAATCACGCTTCAAAATATGATTGCATGACAAATGTGAACAAATAGCCTGCAGTGGAAGAAGGTATTGGGTAGCTCGGTAAACGTATTTATTCAACAGGGTAGAAAGGGTTATTGGTGTGAAAATTCTAAAGTATTAACATGAAAATATACAAAAAGCAAGATTGCTAGTCCCATTTCAGAATAATACATTCAATTTAATGTGATTCTAATTATTAATGTGTTAATCACCTAATGTTGCAGTTGGTACTGAATTATATACTGCTTAATAATTTATAATTTACCATATTATATTTGGTGATTTATAGTCTATCTCAATAATGTAAACCTGCAAAGTAAGTGAAGCTGTCAAATGAACATAGTGAAGTATAAGACTCAATATTTTCCCTTAAAATGTTGCAGTAGAACTATAAACTAGCATACAATTAGTGAAGTAGCCTATTCAGGTATTGTACTTGTTCATGTACTTAGCCTTCTATCAACTACTTTAAAAATCTTTGAGAAGGTGTTTGGAAAATAAAAAGAGAACAGAGGAGTTTTGTCTCACCGTGGTTTTGTGTTTAATATTTGCTGGTTCAGCTGCAGTGGTCTCTGTCTCTGAGCGATCAGCTGATCGTGGCTCTGGAGGACGCCAGCCTGATCCAGATGAACATCGACATGAGAGGCTCAGACATCACAGTCCAGGGCAGGAGGGGGGAGGTTCTGAGCCCTGTCACAGTAGGTTTATCTTACAGCATCCTGCCACCTAATGGCCTCTGGCAACATTACAACTGAGGTTCAGATCATCACTGTGTTTTGGTCTGTCTGTGGTTCACACAGGTGATGGAAGATGAGGGGGACTTCTTGGCCTTGAAGCTGGTCAGTGGTCAGTACGCCTACAGTATGGAAGCTACATGCCCAAAAGGTCAGTACTGGAAGTTATTTTCTTTTCTCTTCCCCTAAACTGTAGGGTGTTTACCCCAGTCAGTACTCTGTAGGTACTCAGATCCTGCATAAGGAAAAATCCTGCATTCAGACACCTAAGTCAAAATATATATTTGGAAAGATACGGATGTATTTACAGGGTAATGAATATATGTGTATATATACATTCTATTTGACTCTTGCAGCCGGTCAAGGTGGAGCTAAACCTTTTAACTTCTTTATATTAAATTTGCTATTGTTTTTTTTTTAGTATGTTTCCCCAAAGAAAAAGGGTTATTAGATGATCAATGAGGATTGGAAAGGAGAACAAACTAAGTTCTAATAAACACATTTGGATTTAGTTTTTGAAATTTAAAAATGTTGTGGTCACAAGCCGGAAGTCAATGATTTGAAAGGGCTCTAGTCTAGTACATCTGTCATGAATATAGTTTTAAATATTGTAAAAATATGAAAATATAAATAAAAGAGCTTCAAAAGTGTGCTTGATTAAATGTAATTCCAGCAACTCATTGTATCCCCTTTCAGTGAACACATCCACAGCAGAGGAGACTGTGCTGCACATTTTCAAACGGCGTATGGGTCTAACCAAGCGAGGCAGCCGGGACAACGAAGCTCTGACTGTCAGTGACGTGTGGGTGAACCAGACGGATAACTTCACCTTGCACGAGACAAGTGCCTTTGTGACACTGATTATTCCTACTGCCCAAATACTCCAGACCAAGGTTGGTGCTCATGGTGGTTCATTTTCTGTTTCTGACATTTCTTAAAGTCTAAGTTCTATGTGTCATTTAAGGATTCATTATGGTGTGTTTGTTTTAAAGACCTGTTCAGACAGCAAGCGCCTCCTGCAGCCGTTCTACCGGGTGGATGTTGTGCTCACCTTCAAAGAGACACATCACAAAATGCAGTGGAGCATGGAGAACACCCTGCCATGCACAGGTGAGTGTGTTGCTGATGAACACAGTAAAACTAAAGTGGTGATTAATTATGGGATGATATTTTGACCACTAGCCATTGAAAGGCTTTTACTGTGGAGTCACACCAGGCACTTACTTTTGTTTGTTGCTCAGTCAATTAATCATTGAACTTTATGTAGCACCTTTCAAACAATTCAAAGTGAGAGAGAAGTGAGAACAGAGGTGATTGATGGAAAACAAACACAACAGAGAGAAATAAAACTTTAAAATAAAATAATACAATCCCATACTTTTGAACACCTAAAACGTATAATTTAGATGCAGATAATCTTCATGGCGAAAATATTTATTTATCTATTTTCATCTGTTGATTTAGCATGTGTTTCCTTTGCATACAAACAAGTGTCCAGATCATAAAATCAATCAGATAATTAAGACATTTTTAAAAGACATCTTACAAATATTCTGATTTCATTATTTATTTGAGTCTGAGTTGGTCTACATTAAAATGTTGCCACATTGTTCCTAAAAGTACAACTACACACTCCCTTTGTCAAAACATATTTATGAATAGTTATATTCTTTTTATAATTATTTCTTTTGAAAAGTTGAACTTACTGGGCTCAATATTTCTTACATTCCTTTACCGAAGGCTTGCAAGTTCAGCCTCATGCTTGTGTGAGTTACATACCGGGTCATGATTGTCTTTTAAACTAGTTGTGATGTGCGTATATGTCCACGTGTTACAATCAGATTTCCGATGAACACAGACATTTCCCCCCTTCAGCATTTACATGCAAAAACACCTTTCAAGTGTCAAACTCTGCACATCATCTTCGTGAAGCTCAAACATCCAAGAAAAGTTAGAATAAGCAAAACCAATTTCTGAGTGGAGAAGGACTTTAACTAGCAAATCAAGTTGGTGGAAAGTAAAAAATACAGCGCTGCTTTAGTTTCTGGAGTTACTGCATGCTGAAAGAGACCACTCTTTATTTTTCTTAAATCTTAATCTGTACATATATGGCAGCCATTCCATTCCAGTGTCTGTTGAATTCAAACACAGAGAAATGTTGCCAGTAGTTTATAGAATAATAAAAAAATGATTTTACTAAAACACATACCTATAAATAATAAAACCACAGAAACTGATAATGCTGCAGTGGTCTCTTATTTTTTTCAGAACTGTATGTTACTAATGTTACTCCTTCAGCTGAAATCCAAATATTATAAATATAGACTCATAAATATCATTTTTGAATGTTAATGAATTTACTGTAACTAAATTATGCAATTATACGTCCACAGCCAGGCCAGCTGCATCACACAGGACCCCCCCTCCTCCTGGTCCCAACACCACAGCCCGCTCCACTCTGAACTTTAAACCCCAGAGTTCAGCTACAGAACAGACGCTGTTGGACCGCTTAAATGTGAGAGCTCCATACAAAGAAACAACATCAACGTTTTCCACAACTATTCCACCTCGCACACAGACTGAGGACAGCAGCTCTCATTCCCACACTGATGATCTGTCAAAGAGTCAAAGTGGAAATGTGTCTTCTTGGTTTGACGGAGACACCAATTAAACTGAAATAAGCTTTTTTGATTCTCTAAATGTGACCATACGTACTTCAGGAGATTCAGATTTCCTTCAGTCATCAGCTGAACCATCAGAAACATCTGCCCTCCAAACAGCTGCACCTGAACCAGGATACCAACAATTTGACACAACAAGAGGGAATAAAGAAAAGCAGAGAAGACTGAAGTGGATCTGGGAAGACTAGAAAACGGACAGAAACAGCACTGTCCATTTGGCCTAATCTCTATAATCTAAAGAAATCAACCTTTTCCAATATCCCATGATACAACCTGTATTTCATTTTAGGTGTAAGCTTGGAAAACCACATTTGAATTACCAAAGTAAAAGACTGATGTATTTCAATTCAAACACAATGTTTCCATTACTTAAAACTCCATATGTTTTTTTACATTTAATTTCGTTGGTCTTGTTTTTACAAGTGCCAACACACTACAGTTACAGTTTCATCTCAGTGACAACTTTTGCTTTTATGCATTTTGACTCTCATTGTCATTGGTGCTTTGTGTCTGTTTGCAGTCTTGAAAGGTGACGCTGTGGTCAGTCAGCGCTGTGAAGGTTGATTATACATACAGAAATACATCCAGGCCCCTGCCAGCCGCTGCCTGAGGGGGGATATTATCCAGAGGCAGACAAGGCAGGCGTTAAATAAACATGTCTCTACCCGAGCAGCACAACAGGCTGACGTAGAGAAGACCCTGCAGCCTGCCACCATCCAGAGAAGAGGCTCGTAATAAAGACTTTATATTTAACAGAGACTTTAAACTGATTTTCAGAGGCTTTATGTATCAACACATTACAAATGGACACCTTTTAATTTAGTTTTTCTCTTCTGATAAAAATTAATACATTTTCTGGCAAAAATCAGCTGTGATGTTGCTAAATGTGCCTTTGCTGCAGTACGCTGAACCAACAGGAGAGGGCACTGTTGCATGTGTTTTCAGAAAACCTCGCAAGGCCAGCCTGAAGTGGCTCATTTTAACATTAACACATTTTACTTCAATTTATTTTCATTTTTTTAGTTATTATATGTCTTCATTGACAGATGAGCTGTATGTAAGTCATGACCACTGAAAATAGCAAAATCTAGATGAAAGAAGATTTTATATTATTTTGAATTGTCATCTTTGCCAATGTAGTTAAATAATTGCTTTAAATATATACCTTAAATGTATTTCTTGCCATCAATTATTATTTGGAGTGAAATGACTGAAGATGTTTCTCCTTTGTTCCCAGCCTTTTTTTCCACCTGTGTTATTGTGACCTCCTGGTATGCACCAAAGGGTCTGTAAATGATAACAGTGCAGTGTTACGCAGTTACATGCATCATATACAATGGGCTGTGGGGCAGAAAATCTAAACTTCCTTGTGCCTTTGGTCCCCATCTGCTCAGTGAACTTATGAGCAGGAAATGGAATGAGTGGTGCAAAAAGCACACCAACATCCCTGCTTCTTTCATGTGGCCTCTCTCGGTCATTACCCTATCTGTACCGACTGTTAACTGTCTTTACAAAGTTAAAAATCCCTTTCATGTTTCACTGTTTCTCTTTTGTTTTAATTTCAGTCAGAGCATATGGTTTGCACATCTGGGAGATGCTAAGCATGGTGGCACCCAACCTCCACACACACTGCTCCTGTGAAGTGATCCATATATGGTCTTCATTGTTATTGCTCATAATCACTCATCATTATTATAAACAAGCCCAGTCTTGATTGGCCGCTTTGAGTTTGCCGTGTAAAGATACTCAATAATGTGAGCTTTCAGAATTTCAAAGGGCCTTGGTGAAAGTGAAACGTTTTGCTGTTTATTCACAGATCTGAAACAAATCTGAGGCATCGTTCTGCACTCTGCCCTGCAGGTGATTAATCCCAGTGTCTTTGTGACCGGTTGTGCATGGGTCATCATTTTTTTAAACAAGGACTTTAACAGTAAGTCCTCGCGTGGCCTATGTGCTTATCCTGATTAGATCTTTGTGATCTAATCTGAACAAACCTGCCTGAAGCTGCAAAAATGAAATATTTCTAGGTAAAGTTCCCAGACCTCCCAGAGTGACCCAGCAACAAGACTGGGCAACAAACTGTGAAGCTTGTATCATGTGACCACAAACAAGCAATCAGATCAGATCAGGAAATTTGATAAGTGCATCTCATCCCAGCTCATTTGAGAATAACCACATTTGATCCTTCATAATAGAAAGAGAGTGTCATTAACTGACTGGTAATTTAATGACACCAAAATGAAGTTAAAATTACTATTGTGGACAACTTTGGGTCATTAAATGCCACTTCAGCCTCCTCCTCGCTGCAGCGTTAGTTCTGGCGAGGCAGACGGGATGCCATGCCACTGGAGAGTCGTGAGGAGGATGAGGGGGAGGAAGGCTATGTGTGGCTTTGAGTGGTTTGCTGGGCCTCTTCATCTCGCTCGCCGGGTAATTACAGAATCATGGGTCAACCACGCATGTAACCACGGTTACGTTGCACAGTAGCAGATGTGCTCATGACATTATCCAGCACCAGAGCAAAAGGTAAATAAAAACAGATGCAGCTGGTTGCTACGGACCTTCGCCAAACTTGCGTACACCCCTAATTGTTCCCATGTGGGCCTGCTGAGCGGGAGTAGTAAAGGGGGCGGGTAGGCCCTGTTTAAGATATGCCAGTGTTCCTCAAGGGGAGACATTTATGAATGGGACAACGAGCCTTTGATGGTGGTTGTGGTGGTGTGTGTTTAATTGTGTGTTTATGTGTGTGTCTGGCATTCTAAAGAGGGGCAATATCTTTAGTAGAAGTACAATTTCCCTCATTCTCTCGGCTTTTCTACAAGCATACCCAACGGACATGAAGGCCTACTGGTCCGATGCTTCCTTTGTCACACCGGGCCTGGATGTGTGTGTCAGTGTGTGCGTGACACTGCACAATGTCAGGGAGGTCCTGGCTGGACCTGAGCCAAGCCTGCTGCAGGCCAGATGAAATATAGAGGAAGAGGCTCGATTTCAGTGATATCCTGTCTTTGCTCGGCATCTGATTAGTGAACGCAGCCTGCAAGATCTGTGTGTGTGTGTGTGTGTGTGTGTGTGTGTGTGTGTGTGTGTGTGTGTGTGTGTGTGTGTTTAGCTTTACAGGTGTATTTCTTGTTTCTGTGCAGTAATGACACACAGTTTACAGTAAAAGAAGGCCTCAGGTTGACTTGAAATTCCTGATTTTAGGGCCCTGTTTTGATAAGTCGGTAAACAATTGTTTGACGTCCCCCACATTTTTTGTGTTGCCTCCGTTGATCTGTATGTGGTATACCCTCTTCTTCACCACACACACACACACACACACACACACACACACACACACACACACACACACACACACACACACACACACACACACACACCCTTACAAGTCTTACACTATGAAGCTCACTGCCAACAGTGCGTGCCTCCTCTCTCTCTCTCATTAACCGCAACTGTCAGATCCTCCAGATGAGGAGCAATTAAACCAGATAATAAACACTCGCCATCAATTCCTGTTTGTTGATGTTGTTGTTGTTGTTCTTGTTGTTGATGTCGACAAGCTCGGGGCTCCTCTCCTGCCACCTTAGTGCTAACTAGTACTTGAGTAACACACGAGAGCAGCAAAGGGGAGAGTCCTTCACAACAGTAGAAAGGCCTCTACCTGCCGCATGTATGGCAACGCCGGGCTGATAATAAAAAAGGAACAGTGAATGTTAACAATTAGATCCTAATCAGACACAGCTCACAGAGGCTGCTCTTTTATCCCCAGGCTTCACAGAAAAGGCAAACAAAGCGCTGCAAACTGTCAAGATAAAACACTACTTGGGATTGGCCGTGTCTTAGGGCTTCTTAAAGGGCAGTAATCTTGCCGTGTGCTGCTTCCTGAGACGACGTGCTGTAAAGGCTCCTGTGTTTGCTCTTGTATTGGAGTGATAAGGCCTCCTCCTCATCACGCCTCGCTCCTGACGATGCTCGTCTCCCCTGGCGATGAGTCGATGGGGCCGTGTTGAGGAGGGGACAGAGAAGGGGCCAGCAATGGAGGTTTTTTTTTTCACTGTATGTGTTTGGGAGATGATAGAAAATTGGAAACAAGTTCCAGTTAAACCTGAATCTTTTCTGTTAATTTGAGTCTTGAACAAAGGAGTTTGTATATACAGTAAAGGATCTTTTAATACAGCAATTAACTGCTAACCATAGCTCAAAAAGGAGCTAAATCTATGCAGCAAAACACTACATGTCTTTTTTTCTTCCATGCACTTTTCTCCCTTGTCAAAACATGGTGCCTACATTACCCAAAATGCAGCTTTATTACCAGCATAGATTCATGTGTGTTATGCTAGTAGCACCTGATGTAGCCTCGAGCTGCTAGCTTCAAGCAGAGAGCCAGCAGGGATCTGGTAAGATCTATATTTTCTAACTCAACTCCAGATTGTTTTCCATTTCAAACTGTCTTCAGCTCACACTGAAACTTACTGAAGTGAGTTTAAAAACACATTGGTCCAATTTCTCTCTACTTCCCCTAATATCACAAAATACTTTATACAAATGTTTGCACATGCAGTTGTACTTCCCAACAACTTTAATCAGACTTGTGTGAATTCCCCTTAATTCATACTTGTATAATATAAAACATAGAGGACCTGTATTTGTTCTTATGAAATGAACTCTAGTTGACCTCAGGAAAAAGGCATATGTGCACATATACACTCTTGATTGTTCAGCCTGTAAGAAAAAATGACGTGCCTGGGATGGTTTTCCACTTAAATTTGAAGGCCGGACAAAGCATTCTTAGGATTTTAAAGACAATGCCCTTTCTTTCGAAGGCTATAAAAACATGTATACAGCTGTACAAGGAGTTTCCTGATCCAGAGGCAAAATATGGTGTCAGATATTCCTATTACCAATCAGGATGGCGTGGCCTGGAAATAAATCTACAAGATGAAACTGTGGCCTGTTTAAAAAAAAGCAGAAAAAAACGATCTGATTTCCCTTTCTCTGTGGAAAAATAGACGTGGGCTGTTGTTTTGAAACTATATTTCCCTCCAAAACACTCTGAAAACTAAACAAAATTGACAGTGTTGGATTTATTGTCTTGTGCTCTTTTGTCTTTGGCTGCCGCTGTTTGTGCCTTT